GTCCCAGAGGCTGTTGTGTTGTCCTTTTCATTTAGTTCCAGGAATACTTTTATTTCTTTCTTAATTTCTCCTTTAGCCCATTCATCATTCATCATTCAGGAGAGTGTTGTTTAATCTCCATGTGTTCATTTGTTTACTAGTGTTTCTGCCGGTGTTGATTGTAAGCTTTATTGCATTGTGGTCTGATAGAATGCATGGAATTATTTCAATCTTTTTGTATTTGTTGAGGTTTGTTTTGTGCCCCACTCTATGGTCAATTTTCAAGATACTTCCATGCCCATTCATCATTCATCATTCAGGAGAGTGTTGTTTAATCTCCATGTGTTCATTTGTTTACTAGTGTTTCTGCCGGTGTTGATTGTAAGCTTTATTGCATTGTGGTCTGATAGAATGCATGGAATTATTTCAATCTTTTTGTATTTGTTGAGGTTTGTTTTGTGCCCCACTCTATGGTCAATTTTCAAGATACTTCCATGAGGCACTGAATAGTAAATATATTCTTTGGTGCTTGGGTGGAACATTTGGTAGATGTCTGTTAGGCCCGTTTGATGTATGGTATTGTTTAATTCAAATGTCTTTCTGTTAATTCTCTGTCCTGTAGACCTATCTAATGGAGTCAATGGGGTATTGAAGTCCCCTACTATTAATGAGTTTGGATTAATCTGGGTCTTATAGTCCTGTAGTACAGTTTTTATGAAGTTGGGTGCACCAGAGTTTGGTGAATATATGTCATGATTGTAATATCTTCTTGGTCAATTGTTCCTTTGATCAGAATGAAACAGCCCTCTTTATCTCTTCTGATTAATTTTAGTTTAAAGTCTATTTTGTCAGATATTAGATTTGCAATGCCTGCCTTTTTCTTAGTACCATTTTCTTAGTATATATTTTTCCATCCTTTCACCTTAAGGTAGTGCCTGTCCTTGAAAATGATATGAGTTACTTGCAGACAACAAAAAGATGGGTTTTGTTTCTTAATCCATTCAACTAGTCTGTGTCTTTTGACTGGGGAGTTCAGCCCATTGATATTTAAAGTTATCAATGAAAGATGAAAGATGTGTACTGATTGCTGTCATTTTTATTTCTGTTCACATTCTCGGTGTAGCTGTGTATTTCCATAGTTATACCTTCATTGTTTCTTTCCATAACCCCTTGGGTATAGTCATTCCTTTCTTCAGCTCTTTGTATTGCTCAAGAACTCTCTGAAGGGCTGGTTTTGTGGACATGAATTCCTTCAGTCTATTTATGTCATGGAAGATTTTTCTATCCCCTTCCACTATAGTAGACATTTTGGCTGGGCATAGTAATCTGGGTTGCCATCTGTGGTCATTTAAAACTGGGAATACTTTGGTCCAGGCTCTTCTGGCTTTCATAGCTTGCACTGAAAAGTCAGCTGTAATCCTGATGGGTTTTCCTTTATATGTGACTTGTTGTTTGTCTTTTGCAGCTTTCAGTATTGTCTCTTTGTTCTGTACATGTAGTGTTTTTACTATGATGTGCCGTGGAGAGTTTCTGTTCTGGTCCTGTCTATTTGGTGTTCTGTATGCTTCTTGTATTTGTATAGGCATGTTTTTCTTTAATTTTGGGAAATTTGAAGATCCTGTTGAAGATCTGGTCCATACCATTAACTGAGATTCTTCTCCTTCCTGTATGCCTATGATTCGTAAGTTTGGCCCTTTTTATGGTGTCACAGAATTTCTGCATATTCCATTCTTGTGATTTCTTAAATTTTCATAATCTTTGCTTGAGTGGTCTAGTTCATCCACTTTATCTTCCAGTGTTGATACTCTGTTTTCCATTTCATTCATCCTATTGGTGAGGCTTTCTCCTGTCGTTTCTAATTGGCTTACTGAGTGTTTCACTCCCTTCTTCATTTCAGCCTGAGTATTCTTCAATATTTCTAACTCTTTTCTGAATTCATTCAGAACTTTATCCCTATCTTCTTTCAGTTCTTTGATTTTTGTTTATATGTTCTTTAAAGTCACTGAATTCTTTTATCATGTTTATAATTGTTCCTTTGAGTTTCATATCCTATGTTATCCCTATGGTATTCTCATTGTACTCCTCTAGAGAACTGTTAGTACTTGATGGGGATATATTGTTTGTTTTTTTTCATGTTATTATTTTTTTCTCTGTGACTTTGATATGCAGATTTCTTTTGTAGCTTCTGATTCTTGTGTGACTCAAGCCTTCCTTTGTTGAGCTTAGGTCTGATTCTTTTTGTGAACTTCATGTGCCTTTGTGGTTTACTTGTTGGGCATGAAAAGTTGGTTGGCCTAGGCTTCAGGTTCTCTCTTTTGATTTTATATTGGAGTGGCCAAATTGCTTTTGTCATGCTGCTCAGGAGTTCCCACAGAGGCCCAATTCAGATGAGGATCAGATGCTCTCAGGCTTTCTCCTGAGGTCTGGATCCCTACAGGGAAGATGCTGGCCTCAGGATCCCTGATTTGCCTGGCTTCCTTGTTGTTCACCCCTGAAGGTCACTTTGCATGCTCTGGCACACCCATATCTCCTCCCTTCTTTTCTACCCTTTCGCCAGTCAGGTATTCCATGAAAGTAATGGCATTTGGGTTCACTTGTTGGTGAAATCTTCCAGCGTTGCCTCTGTAAGGCTGAATCCAACAATTGGAGTGCCCTTCGGAAGCACCTCCTCCAAACTCTCCAGTCCCATCTTTCCTGACCTTGTCCTGTTTCCACCTTTAGATTGTTATTCTCATCAGTCGTAAGTGGATTTCACAAGTGTTGCTCTAGGAATTAAATCCTGCCTCTTGCTCCAAATCCTTGGGGAACACTCCTTAAGATTCCTCTTGTTGCAGATGACAGTTAGACTAGAGACTGGACAAGCTTGGTGTCATTCCTCACACTGGTTGTGGAAAAGTAGCTAAGTCTCAAGTTATTTTTACCCTGATAATGGAGCAGTCAAATGATTGCTCAAGAAACAGTGTTGACTTTTACCATGACTTACTAAAGAAACTGTGATCTAAAATCCAAGATCAAATATCCAATTTTGTAGATAATGTATCCATGTATATTTCTGTAAAGTGATGAACTGAAATATCAATTTGTCAATGTTTTTTTCAATTCCCTACTTATAAAGGATGTAATTCTTGAAACCGAGACCATTTTCCATTATTCTTTTTAAACATAAAATTGTTTTGCGGGGTTTCAGATATAGTGTGCACTACAAATATGGAGGATTGAATTAAGAATAAAGAGAGAAGGGTGGATAAGATGGCTCAGTTGGTAAAAGTGCTTGCCACCAAGCCTGTCAATTTGAGCTTGGTCCTTGGAACCCATATCATGAAAGGAATGATCTGGCTCTCCAAAGGTGTCCTGCAACCTACACACACTCTGTGGCATGAACACATACTCCATTCCATATGAAATAACGGAAAAATATAATAAAAATATTTATGTGTAAAAAAGAAGATTATGGGGCTGAAGAAATGGCTCGGTGGTTAAGAGCAATGGGGCTACTCTTGTAGAGTACCCAGATCCAATTCTCAGCACCCACATGTCAGCTAACAACTGTCCATAACTCCAGTTACAGGGGATCCAACACCCTCTTCTGACCTTCATGGGCATTGTGCAACATGGATGCACTTACACACATGCAGGCAATACATTCAGATACATAAAATAATTTTTAAAAATTTAGAATATAAAAGAAGAATAAAATGAGTATCCTTCCTTCTTTTCATTTTAGGCTATCTCTATTCAGATAAAACAAAGAAAGGGAGGTTAGAACAGATATTGCTAAGGAAATTTTGCCTGTAAATGTTTTCTCATAGGTGCTAACTGTGCCCATCCTCCAAATACTTGACAGTTTACAGGAACATACATCTGTACTAGAAATACTGTCTTGAGAAACACAAATTACCCTACTTGGTATACCCTATGGGTTTCAGTAGAAAAATATTTATTGTGAATTAATAATTCTGTTAGATACCCTGTTGACCAGTTGCCAAGTTATCAAATGTTGGTTTGTGTTCATTTTTGGAAAACAATGCAATGTATTTTGGATAGATTTATGCACATGCATAATATATATACATATATTCTTTGTACAAAAATGTGTAAGCTGTATAATCTTCTATATAATTATCATTACATAAATATTTTCCACTACAAACTTCCTCCTCACTAGCAACATCCCAGATTGCATGCATGTGTATAAACATCACCTTCTACTCCATAAGGCTACCAAATTTCCTTATCCATCAGAAATAGTATTAATGATAAAAAGTTGCTGTTTGATGATTCTCTTTATTGAAACCATATAAAGACTGTTTATACTCTAGTTAATATTTAAATGCTTGTAGTAACAATCATGATTTCTACCAAAACAATTTACATTGTGTTTTCCTGGCCCTATTCTTTCTATAAAGGCTCTTTACTATTCTTTCTATGATCCAGTAACTCACTAGCAGACATGCAGACACAAAGCTCTGAAACAGTTTATACTTCATGATTATTTTATATGTATGGGTTTAGTAGTTTTTAATGGCATCAGTGTCAATGGCTCTAGGTAAGTAATCAATAGTAACATTGATTCTTCTAAAAATTGGATGGCACATTAAAATTTTAGCTTGTGACTAGACAACTTAGTTATTTCATAAGTAATATTTCATCTATTAATTTACTTTAAAAAGTTTCTAAGTATTTTCTAAGGATATTAAACACAAAAGATCTATGTAATAAAAAATAAAATAGATGTTTTAAAATAATTGTCTCATATTTCTTCACATCTCCCTTTTATAGAAAATGGAAGAGAATCAGACAATGGTCACAGAGTTCATCCTGCTGGGCTTCTGTCTTGGCCCAAAGATTCACCTAGTTCTTTTGGGACTTTTCTCTCTCTTCAGTACCTTTACCCTGATGGACAGTGGGGTCATCTTTGGACTAATCTACCTGTAGTTCAGGCTTCACACCCCAATGTATTTCTTCCTCTCCCACCTGGCCATGGTTGACATTGACTATGCCTACAACATCGTGCCTCAGACACTAGTCAACCTCTTCGATCCAGCCAAACCCATCTCTTTTATTGGCTGTATGATACAGACCTTTCTCTTTTTGACATTTGCTCTCACAGAATGTCTCCTCCTGGTGGTGATGTCCTATGACCGGTATGTGGCCATCTGCCACCCCCTGCACTACGCTGTCATCATGAGCTGGAGAGTGTGCACCATCCTGGGAGCAAGTATATGGGCATGTGGCTCCCTCCTAGCCCTGGTTCATGTGGGTCTCGTCCTGAGGCTGCCCTTCTGTGGGCCTCACAAAATCAACCATTTCTTCTGTGAAATCCTGTCTGTCCTCAAGCTGGTCTGTGCAGACATGACACTCAACAAAACTGTCTTCTTTGCAGCCTGTGTGTTCACTTTAGTAGGGCCCTTGTGCTTTGTGCTGGACTCCTACACTCGCATCCTGGTAGCCATCCTGAGGATCCAGTCAGGGGAAGGCTGCAGGAAGGCCTTCTCCACCTGCTCCTCCCACCTCTGTGTGGTCGGGCTCTTCTTTGGCAGTGCCATCGTCATGTACATGGCCCCCAAGTCCCGCCATCCTGAGGAGCAGCAGAAGATCTTTTTCTTATTTTACTGTTTTTTCTCAACCCCATGCTGAATCCTCTGATCTTCAGCCTGAGAAATGCTGAGGTCAAGCATGCCCTCAGGAGGGTACTGTGCAAATAAAGTCATTCCCAGTTTGTGTGATGATCAAATCAAAAGCTTCAATTGTCTCCTGTAATCTTGGTCCCCAATTATTTCTTAAATCCGGAAATTATCATTTTATTATCTTTTTATCTGTGCCTTAAATCTTCAAGAAAAATACTCTATGTGTTGCTGTGCTAATTAGTTTTTGACAACTTGCTACAACCCAGAGTCATCTGGGAAGAGGGAACCTCAACTGAGAATTTTTCTCTAGTCAGCTGACCTGTAGGCTTGTCCATTAGGTATTTTCTTTTTGCTAATTGATGTAGGAGGAGCCAGCCCACTATAGACAGTGACATTCATAGGCTGGTGGAGCTGGGCTATATGACAAAGGCAGTTTAGCAAGGCAGGTCAGTTAGCAACGTTCCTCCATCGCCTCTGCTTCATTTCCCGTCTCCATATTCCTGTGTTGAATGCCTGTCTGGGGTTCTTTCCATGATGGACTGTAAAGTGTAAGATGAAATAAACCTGTTCCTCCCAAAGCTGATTCTGGTCAGTACTTTATCACAGTAACAAAGAAGCAAACAAAGACAGTCGCCTTCATTTGCTATCTATGAGATGAGGGTTTATCATACATAGATGTTTTCATTTTCAGTTTAATTGATTAGCTGTGAAAATTGACTAATAATTTAATTCATTTTCTGGGTCCTAATAATTAAATTCATCCTACCAAATATAACCTCACAAACTACCTATGTCATAAGATTTACAAGAAAGCTGGGTACATCCAAAGGTGACAGTCCCCAAAGCTCCAGCACACAGTGTACCAGTCTCCTACAATTATGCTTTCCTTGTGCAATAATTACTACGAGATTTCTGATTACTCATTCTCCACAAGACCAATAACTACTAAGTGATGCATATTAGGGAGTCAAGTTTGTTGAGTAAAGGAACAGAATTGAAAGAAGTACAGGCAGAAGGAAAGAAGAGAATTTCTACATAGTGAGACCATGTCTCAAAAAGAAAAAAAAAGTATCACCTGACAGATGGGAGTTATCTAGCCAACACAATCATGACAGCACTTAGACATCTTATTGTCTGTTAGTCTAGTTCTAGTCCTTACAAGTTTCTTCTGGATTGAATATTACTGATTAATTACATCTCACATGATGGCTGCAGGGGAATTTCAGAACTATTGGAAAAAGGTATTTATTATTTAATATTATTTAAATTATGATGTGTGCTACCATTTGTCATATAGAAGTTGGAGATTATGGGTCTTTCAAATGGAGTATGTACAAGGCCCTGTTCTATGAAATGCTGTGATAGCGCTTTTATTAGCACATGAATAATGTAGGGGTATTGTATTAGTCACTTTTCTGTGGCTATGATAGAAACACTGACCAAAGCAACTTATAGAAGGGTTTTTGTGAGCTTACGGTTCCAGGGGAATTACAGTTGGTCATGGCAGGGAGGCGTGGTGGCTGGAGGTGCCTGGAGGAGGAGCAACAGAAGCTAAGCTCTCACATCATCATGCAGGCATGGGAAGCAAGAGAGCAACTGGAGATCTGGCAAGGCTTAAAAACTCTCTAAGCCCACCCCCAGTGACATGCTTCCTCCAGGATAGCCATACCTTCTAAGACCTCCCAAAACAGCACCATCATGTAGAGACAAAATGTCCAAATACTTGGAGCCTATGGGGTACATTTTCATTCAAACTACCACAGGTATTAACTCTCGTATATCATGAAAGTAGGTGGCAATATTAGGGGCTATAAGCACCAAAAATATAGACATGAGACTCTGTGAATGAAGTCAGTTCCTGAGCCACGTGGCATTGACTCCACAGTATCTTTACATATGGAATGGGAATTTCCATCACTGCCCTATAGGATTGCTTTTTGATCTTTGCTAGGAACTGTAGTCCAGTGTTTCTAACTGTATGCTGTTTAATGACTTCAGATCACCTGGAGAATTTGCAAAAATATAGATTCTGATTTGGTGGCTCTGAATAGGATGGGCAGACATTCCAATTTTAGTCATCTCTCCCGTCTTGCTTGTGGGCTGACCCACAGGCCACACTTTGAACATTAATGGCAGGAATGTAGAGAAGCATTGCCAAATGTGATATTCTTAGAAATAATGGAAGGAAAGCAGAGCATGTGTTTGCACAGGACCTAACATCTATGCTGTTTCATCAGACTGTAGGGAAACCTCATTTTCTTGTTTCTTGATGAATTTTGATAGCACTAGCTTAGTTTGATTCGCTGTTTGTTTTTGTGGTTGTTTTCATCTTCATTGGGAGGGTGGTCTGTTTTGTCATGTTGTCTCTGTGTATTGACATTGCACCAAAAGAAAGAGAACAGAATTGGGCAAAATCTGGTTTGGTCCTTATAGGACTGTCTGATATTTGGGTTCTATCAGACACTGGAGAAAACCAAAGTGATTTTCCTACTCCAATGATAACATACTCAACACTTCACATTGACGTGGGATGTAGGAGGGTTTCCCCCAAAACCAAGACCAGAAACCAGTGGACACTAGAGGGAGGTCATTGATGTAATTTTGTTGCTACCTGCTGGGAGATAATGTCTGAACTTAAGAGTTAAATGCTCAGTCCTACAAGACTGCATCCACTTCACATAACAATCTTAAGCCCAGCTTGTGACCTGTGCTTCTAACTGACCAGTTATAATTCAGAATTTTAATCTCATATCCACATTTCAACCTTAGATGTTACCCACATTACCTCTGCTCCTATCTCCTTGGTGAAAACATCACCCTTGGTAAATGGAGGAAGGCTGACAAAGGCAGCCTCATATGAGCAGTTATGTCCACATACAGCTACGCATAGGAAAAGACAATGGTATATCTTTGCCCTATACCTCCTTTAGAGTAACATTAGCAGCCAAGAACAGCAAACCCCATCACAATGGAGCCTCTTTTATTCCCTGATCCTGTGCATTCCAAATGAACTTCTGACCGTTTAAATCAGAACTTCTCCGGGCATACAGTTCAGAACATTACCACTTTCACTCTCCCCCAGAGCATTTCTCTCATGCTGTTCTGAAGAGGCATATGCCCATGTTGGAGGTGTTTCCCTCACTGTGAGGACTGGCTCTTTCACAGTTCACTCTGGTAGTAATTACTTTTAGCAGTAATCACATTCTCTCAGTTTTTCTTAGGTTTTTATCTGTATTACTACTGTCAATTAAATATTATGGTTAAATCCTTAAAGTGCTTTAAGCATATATGTTTTTAATATGTATTGAAAGCAAACAGTCAGTGTTACCACATAACGTAAATGCTTCTATTTCCATCAGTAATGTCTATGTTTATCTATCATGTTTATGCTCATCCAATAGAAAACAGGATGTGTACTTACCTTTTCTGAATTGAAATATCTCCCCAACCAGAGGGAGGCTGAGGAAGTAAGTGAAACTTACAAGCATCAGGAAGTAAACAAAACTCACAAATCTCAGGAAGTCTCTGAAGCTTGTAAGAGTCACAAGGCCTCTCTTCCCAAGGTTATAGAAAGAGTAACAATTGTGTGGACACTTTCTGACACCCAGACTCCCTGAAACTTTCACAGGGATCTCCAGAGATATAGCTTTAATGAGTTGTCACCCATGCTGATGTGGGCTTTCTGGTGATGTGAGTGACTTTAAATCATCCATGCTCCTGTAAGTAATCCCTCACCCTTACTCCTGTAAGCAAACCCAATTAACCCATTGTTGAATGAAGATCTCTATTCAAAGGCTGGGCTACCACTTTATGAGTTGTTGGCTGCCAAGGCCCCACAAATGATGCAGGCTCTTCCTGTTGCTGTTGGTCACATGCCAGAATCATTTGGTGTAATGGTTAATCTTGGATGTCAACCTGACTGGATCTGGAATCGACTAAAAGGCAAGCCATGGGGGCATTCCTGTAAGGAATTTCTTGACACAGTTATTTAAAGTGAGAAATCCCGCCCTAAATGTGAATACACCTTCTGGTGGCAAGCCAGATAGAAGGAAGAGGGAAGAGAGGAGCTTGGCTTTTCATTTGTTTGTCTTCATTCTTCTGGCAAGTTCACCCATCACGTTGCTTCTGCTACACGTTCCTATGCTGAGATTAGTGCCAGTTTCTTCAATCTTCCAAGTTAAAATGAAGACCAGCAGCTCTCCAGGAATCTTCCAGGCTTTCAGTGCCTGACTAGGACTGATGAGGCACCCAGCATGGCGAACTGAGCATCTACCAGATTCTCAGCCTTTCTAGTATGAGACAGACATGTTGGACTACCCACACTGCAGCATGTAAGTCAATCTAATAAATACCCTTTTAATCTATGTTCATGATATCAATTCTGTTCTTCTAGAGAAGAAGAATCCTGACTAACACAGTGGCTAAGTTCCTACTGGTGAAGATACCACGTGCTTTGGCTACAAGATGTGGAAGAATCAAGCTATAACTAAACTGGAAGCTCCTTCTTGCTGGTCACCTTTTGTAGTGGCAGAAGACACCATGCAGCCCTCTGGGAGAGAATTATCACCAACAGCCCTGCTTGGCTATGGACCCTGCGTGCTACAGTAGCAACATGCCAACTGAGATGTGCCAAATTGTTCAAGAGTGGCATGACTATTATGGGTGAAACCAAGTGTTTTCAGCTTTAATTTAAGATGTACTCCACAGGAAGAAACACACATCTGGTGTTGTAAGCAAGGACAGATGTCAATGGTGTAGAGAGTTTCAGCCTCTGGAGGCAAGAAACTGATATTCTTCTGAGAAATAGATGCCATGTACCTTTCAAGGTGCCTTCTGAATATCTGTGCTGCTCTCAGGCTAGAAGCTCCATGGAAGGAAGATTCTTTTTGCTATGGGAAGTATGCTACAGAAAGTCATAACTGGTCTTGAGACAATGATTGTTGCTGTGGTATAGTGACTCATTACTCAGCCATATGTGGAAGAAAATTATCAGACATTTACATTATCCCCCATATGACTCAGGAAACATCAAAAAAGGAGAGGCTAAATGAGTGTAAGAGCCACAGGAAGGGCTGGAATATTCTGTAACTATGTTCTTC